AGTTGAGAAATAGTTTCCAGGACAAACCGTTGGCTATTGATTTTGTTCTATGGAAAAGAGGGTGAACCCATTGGCCAGTAATACCATAGTGTGCTGGAAGGCTAGTGACTTATTCCTGGCTGTTTGTTTCTCTTTGTTGTATGTTTTGCTTTTAAGGGAAGTGTAGAGTGATATTAGGCCCTTGCAGTCAACAGGGAACTGATGAATGCTTAGTCAGAGCTTAGTCAGCAATGGTGTTGGTGAGCTTTTGAACATAGAGAAGAGTCACAGGAAGATTAAAGGGAAATTGTTGTATTTTGTAGTCTATGGAGAAAACTCCATCATGGAAATCATTTCTGATATACAGTAGTTGGCATAAAACTACTGTATAGGAATTACTTGATCTTCCCTGTAAATGTCTATAATTATTTGTGTACATTAGAATAAAGTAATTATTATTGTCTTTTCTGAGGTATTCCTGCTTAGGCCACAGGCCATACTTTTCAGGCCCCCTGAAGTGCAAACAGTGTATTGAGGTGGTGACTGATAAGTATATATTTTAGTTCTGTACATACACTGTATACAGTATGTTTTTTTGTTTTCAAAACGGATGAGAATGGGACAGATACATGTATATTAGCAGAAGCTTTGTGTTAATACACAAAATCCCTACAAAGTATAAAAAATGAGAACAGACAAAAAGAGCAGAATATTTTCTGTTATGTATCGATGTTCCTATGGTGATGGAATTCTCCTGTTTCTTCGCAGGCTCCACATTTAGATCTTTTACAGATTTTATATACTTCTCACGAAAAGGAGAGAACAGATTGAGACTATAAAATACTACCTAAAAAAATTAATCTAAAATAGAACTTCCTCTTTTTTGCACTAGATCTGGGTTGTACAGGGCCACACTGTCTTTCAGTTTGTTCTGCACCTGAGCTCTTAATTGGATAATTAATAACTAATTCATTGCTAAGTGAACCTTTTTAGCCCTGTTTTCCTTTTTCTTAAAGCCATTGATTATTTACAGAGATGCATAAAACCTGCTGGTTTGCAATCCTTTTTGACTGGTGCTGGCTACCTGATCATTTTGTTTTCCTAATTTCTTCCTGAAATAATGTGCTGTGTGGCACCTAAGGGAACAAGGAGCTGACAGGTATTTATGTGAAAAAGCAGTTGGATTCTGCTGCAGTCATAAACTAACCCTTGTTGATAATATTCTGCCGACAGCCTGACAGAAGCCTGTAGAGCAATACCAGTCTCACAATTGGAACAAAAAATCTGGACACAAAGCAAACGCTTTGGCATAATCCCTGCTCTAAGATGATCAAATAGAAAAACAATGAACATGTTCCATTCTCTTTTTAGTTCCTTTTCTTTTCAGCTTTAAACGTTTTATTTATTAGACCTGTCATTTTCACTGGCAAATTACCTTAAAATAGTTGCTAGGGCCTGTATATTGCTATTAGATGGGAGAAAACAAACTGTTTTTTTTTGCTTGGATGAGAGGTTGCCTTAAGTGGGACCTCTTCTGGGGAAACTTTTTTTTGAGAAACACATTTGTCTTGGCCATGTTCAAAAGCTTGAGCATAATGTGAATGACATCATTTCCATTTGTGTCCCCTTGTTTTCTTATGGAAGCATAATAATCACACTGACAAGGTGTAAATGTTTCTTGGTGTGATGTCAAAGGCTGTTGGGAGAGAGATTATTTCAACTAAAAGACCTTGTCTCACAAAGAAGACACATTTCTGCAGTTAACATCTGTCAGTTACCATTTACAGTATATCATTGTGGCAAATGGATCTTTCAGGTGCATGTTTTCCTTTTATACTAACAATTTTAACTGTACAGTACCCAGAAAGAAAACAAAGTTTAAGAACATAAAAAGGTTACAAACGAGAAGATGTTAAGCAGTTGTTAGTTTATTGATCCAAATATCTCATCAGCCTCAACAACATAGTTAGATAGCCCGTTCCATACTTCCACATCCCTTTGCATAACTCTTCTCATTTTTAAATGCACTTCCACATACAGTAGGTTCCACTTGCGTCCTCAATAGCCACCAATACAGGCTTACAAGTGTACCGGTTCTTGGGGTTTCTGCCCTTGCCACTCCTGCCCTGCCAGTTCGTCCCTCACTGTCTGGGTGCGAAATTCCAGGCAGATAGCACGTCAGTAATGGATTTGAACCCACAGGCCCAGTGCTGTAGTAGTAATACTAATCACCATGCTGCCCTCATGTTTCTAAAGTTTTTACTAAACCTTCAGTAAAAACTTTAGAAACATTTTGGTGTCATCTGCAAGCCTGACTCATTTACTAAATTTACTATTATTTGCTAATTTATCCGTCCTTCGGATGACACGTAAAACCGAGGTCCTGACTCTCTGTGACCATTAAAAACCCCGGCGTCCTGGCCAAATTCCCCATTGGCCCTTACCAATCATGGCCTCCTAATAATCCCCCTCTATGAATTGGCTTCATTACTCTGCTCTCCTCCCCACTGAGAGCTGGTGTGTGGTGAGCGTTCTGGTGCACTATGGCTGCTGTCGCATCATCCAGGTGGGGCTGCACACTGGTGGTGGTGGAGGGGATCTCCATTACCTGTCAAGCGCTTTGAGTGGAGTGTCCAGAAAAGCGCTATATAAGTGTAAGCAATTATTATTATTATTATTATTATTATTATTATTATTACTAAATGAAAATTATAAAGAGCAGTGGCCCTAAAATAGATCGCTGCAGTACCCTACTAATTACATTACTCTAGTTTGAGTATCCACAGATATAGTATATCTGTACTTGCTGTTTACTATTTCATGCATTTTTTCACAGACCACTTGTAATTTACAAATTCATGTTTCATGAGGAAAAATTGTATGTCCATTGGTGTTGTTTGTTTAATTAGCTCTAGCAGCCTAGTTAAATGTGTTAGTTAAGCGTGACTGATGTATCCACACATTCACTAAGCAGTAAGCTTTCCCTGTGGTGACTCTGTGCTCTTTTTGTCTGTTTGTTAATTCATATACTCAGACAAGTGAAACTATCTGATTGTACATTATGGTTGTGAATGTGTGAATTTAGGCAATGTGATTTATACAGTGTTCTGGGTGAGTGCTGGAAACAGAAATGCTATTTACTTTGCCAGAAGACTTCACATCTGACAGATGATGAATGGGAGATTTAAAATTAGAGAAAACTAAGTCGTAGCCTGAAAAAATATGATGTTGCCTAAAAAAGAAGCTACTGGCAAAGGGATATATTTGCAAAGCATTCATCTTAAGGTCTTGGGATCTCTAGCAGTCTTAGTTCTCAGAAAGGAAAAGTGCCACGCCTGCTGTTAAAAGTAAAGCTTAAATGTTCATGGAGAAGCTTATTGTTTTCTGGATATAAATATGACAGTTATTAAATTATATATGTAATATGTAATTATATGTACTGTTATATACATATAAGACTTTGCAGTGTGAAACATTGTAGTCCTGGACATTTTGTATTGTTCTACTCTTTTTACTCAGTATTCTTTCTTCTTTTTGCTGAAAGTACAATTCTATGGTAATAATGCACTTAAATTGTAGTCATTTTATCTTAACCTAACTGTTAATCCTAATAGAGGTAGGTTACGAAGAACAAAAATGGATTGGATTGATTGTGAAGAGACAACCAAAAGGTGTTGATTACAATGAAAACTCGACAGTGAGTTAATTACAGTTGACTGGCACATGTGGTGAATTAGCTACGCTTCGGATTGGGAGCTCATGTACAGTAGAATAGCTGTGATCACAAGTTGGTAAAGATTTTGATGAAGATTGCTTAATGACGAGCTTTACTTCTTCTCTCCTAAACTAAGCTGAATTAATAAAAGTCAAAGTCGTTATTGTGGTAGAAAACATTTCTGGTGTAAATTGATAATCTACTAAATTAGTCATCTAGTAACAGACATATAAACAGTATTGTAATTAATACAATATTAAATAATAAAGGCACTCCATTGCTATGGTTTCCTCCCGTGTTCTAGTGGGTTAAATGGCTTCTGGGAAAACTGTCCCTGGCATGAGTGTGGGCGTGTCTGTGTTTGCGTCTGGAAAGGACTTAACGGGAATGCTTTTCATGGCAAGACAGCCAGGAAGTAACCACTGCTCTCTAAAAAGAACATTGCTGCTTGTCTCGGGTTTGCTAAAGAGCACCTGGACAGTCCAGTTTAAAGCTGAACCAAAAGTGGGTCACACAAGACCATCATCCTACACACACGAGCAGATCTACAACAGAATGGCTGAAGAAGGAAACATTTTGCATTTTGCACCTTGGCCACGTCAAAGTCTGCACACAGAAACTGAAATGTTAGGACCTGCAGTGAGCTGTTCATGTCAAGGAAGCCTCAGCTGTCACTGATTTGAAGTGGTTCTGTAAAGAAGAATGGGCTTAAATTTATAAAAGCCCAGAGACTGATAAACAGTTACAGGAAATGTCTAGTTGATGCACAATGAGGTCCCACAAGTTTGTGAGTCTGAAGCATCACATACTTATACACACAACTGTATTTACTGTTTGATCATCTTGTTGATTAAGTAATCTGATATATGCCTTTGTGTTATGTTTTGAATCAGGTTATCTTCAGATGGTATTATTTTAATACTGCCATGGAGATCTAATAAGATGTTAGGTCTGGAATACAGGAGAAGGTGGACTAAACTATTAGGTTTAAAAAAATTATTTTCAACGCTGTATATGTAAACTGTTAGCATCTGTTGTACTACAAATGTAAACAGCAGATTAAACACTTTGATCAAGCTTTGTCAGTTTATTTCATTTCAGATAAATTCCTCTTCCCTAACATACTCAGTTCAAATATTAGATCCTTAATAGAAGTGTGGAAATAGCTTCTAAACTGCTGTGTTTTATATTTTGACTCTATAAAGGGCATGGAATACACCAGATGTTATTCTTTGCATATTTAAACCATGTTGGATATTCATATTTCATTGAATTGATATGGATCGATTGTATTCCTGTTTTCCAGGTAGAGAGCCCATAAAAGAAACCACTGCTGTTGAGCTAACCGTGGAAGGTGTTATGCAACCATCCGAAAGGATAACCCTTTCTGAAGCATCATCATCCACACCTGCAAAGTCCACTTCAGCTGTCCTATTGTTGGAGACAACTACAAAAAAGGCTCCAGTTTTGGAATCCACCAGCCCAGAGAAAGAATTTGATACAGAACCTGAGGTCCACTCAAAAACTGATGCAGGTATAAGTTATGCTCCTGCAGGAACGGTGAAGCCTACATCATATGACGGAAGAGTGGAAGGAGATAGCACTAAATTAGATGAAGATATCTCCTCACCCATCGCTTTGGCCTATTCTGTTACTCCAGAATCTAAAACAGATGGAACTCAATTGCCTGGAACTGAAAAAACCTTCACTCATTTTCCTGAAGATGCTGGAGCCAAAGAAACAGTCACTGGTGAAGAAACTGCCACAGATTCACCATCCATGTTCTCAACAAGCATGGCTAGTCCGTTCAAGGAGTTCACTACCAGGCATGTCGAACATGACGAGGTTAGTGAGATAGTGATAGTACCAACAGTCACATCAGCTACAGGTGTGGACAAAACAGATGACATTTTGACAGAGAAAACAGAAACACCATTCATGACTACAGTGGACAATGTAGTGGATTATGACCTGAATACTGAAATACCTTTGCAGGCCTTCCCACAAGGAGGTGATACATTTTATTCAGTCAGTACTTCGGAGTTTGCTGGCCATGTCGATCTACAGACTACGCCTGTGCTGCCTGTTTTACAAAGTTTACTCACAATTAAACCGTTCCCTCCACAATCCGATGTTGAAGATGATGCAATGGAATATCCAGAAAAAAATGAAACTGATATGTTTACAAGGCAGCAGGTCCAATTGACTTCTGTAAAGGAAGATAAAACTGAAAGTGTGTCTATTTCTGAGCTCCTTTCCTCACCTACTTCCCTGTCTGATCAGAAACCGAAGGGTGACGACCAAGCTAAAGACGGTAGTGGGAGTGAAATACTCAAAGCTAGTTCAGTGCCTCGTGCGTTCGCAAGCACAACCTCCACAGAGACCCACACGCAACAAAATGTTCATGTGGCACCTGAATCTGTTTCTCCTGATGCTTCATTGTCTGTCAAGCTGACTGAAAAAATCCTTCATGCAGTAGGTGCCACAGAAGGACCCGAGAAAGGCAGGAGTGAAGAGTATGTGACTACGATGTCTATTTCACATTTAAGTAGCTCTTTCCAGCCTTCCGATGAATTGCTGAGTGGCTCTGGCGATGTTCCTGTACCCACTGAAACCACTAGACTTATCAGCAGCCAGCCTCCAGGAAGTGAAGTGAAGTCCACATTTATAACCGAATACCAACCTTCGATCAGAGAGGTAGAAAAAACATCTGCTCACCCCACTGCACTAACAGCTGAAGCTGAAGGGTCACCTTTGTATAAAGAAGATGCAACAGTAGCTGCCATTGCAGATGCAGACTCCCAGAGCACTCTGACTACATCTTTAGTCAGAGAAATAAAAAGGCCTACACAACAAGCCAAACCTGATCATTCACACGTAGAAAGAAACGGAATAATAGCAACTTATGAACCCATTACAGTAGGATCACAGACAACTAAAAATGATTATTTAGGGCACGAGCAATCATCTACTGTAATTGATCTTATAACTACTCCAGAAATCACATTATCATCTGCTGTTACAGATTTTGACACAGAAGAGTCAATTGAATCTACATCATCTGTAGCTCAGACCTCTGGAGCAGGTACCTCAGAGAAATTAAAGGACTTGCCTATTACTGAACAACCTGAGATTTCTGTTGCGGCCTCTACACCTTTAACACTGTTATTTAGTAAGACCCCTGTGGTCACTATAATGCAGTCAGGTGTTTCCGAGGAATCTAGTGGCATGAGCCCAGAAACATATTTTGAGCTAAGGTCAACAGAAGAGGTTCCCACTGAGTCTACTATTCTGAAATCCTCAGTAATATCATTTACGGTTGGCAGGCCAGAATTTGCCGGAGAAACTAGTGTCCCTCTCCAGGTACATAACACAACCAATATCATTTCAACTGAGACAAGTGAGGACCTAGTGAAAGAGGTTGTCAGCAGCAAAGAGACTGCACCTACATCAGCCTCAGAGAAGATTGTGATTGTAGACACAGTCAAATATATGAATCTACCAGTCACAGATGAAGAAGGAAGTACTGGCTCTGAAATTGACTCGGTCACACATACAACAGTCTCCATTCTGCAGAAGGAGGTAACAACCACTCAGACTCTGGAAGACTACAAATCAACAGCAAGCCCTGAAACTGATTTTGACCAGACCATGACTCCACTGGATAAAGTAGAAACTGAAATCTTTGTTGAGGGACAACCACCCACTCAACCATCCCCTGATGATGAGAATGGCTCTGGAACATTTTTCCCTTCTTATGTAACTTCACCAAAACATGTTGAATTAATTACCACCAGAGCAACCCACTTATCTTTCACTCCAACGGTAGATATTGAACTTACTTCTGATACCACAGATGTGCAAGACACAACTAAAAAATTTACTTCTGTGTTTGAGCCTACAGAATCTGCAAAACATTATGTATCTACAGAAACTATCACCATTTTGCCAGAGCCTTCTAAATTGCCACTAGGTGGAGCTGCTCTTTTTCCAGGCGAAAAACAGACTAGTGAGGAACAAGATGCAGCAGAAGGTTCTGCTATGTCAACTCCAGAACATATTCAGACACTTCCAGAAAGCACGACTCTGTCATTTCTGCCTATAGAAGTTGGATCACCTACAAAGGAAGAAAGTTCCATAATACATGAAACAAGCACTGCATCTCCCACAGATATCACAACACCACAATCAGTCATATCTACAAAAGGTTACTATATTACGCATACTCCTGATCTTCACGAGGAAGCCACTGTTCCAAAACATGAAGAAGTAAAACCTTCTGATAAAGAAACACAGACAATTATGTCAGAAACTAGTAGCTCTCTGCAGGAAATGGACTCTCCAACAACAGGGCAAATCATTGAGCTAGATAATATTTCTGAACCTACAAAAGACACTGTTTCATCAGTTCAACATGTAGGACAAACAGTAATAGTTTTCAAACAGACTGAAGGGTCTGCAGATGCTGAAGAAGTGTCAACCACTCAATCAACTGTGTTCTTAATGTCAGCTGTAACGACTGTACCAGACAGTAGCACATATTCCAAAGTAGAAACTACCACTGAAACGCCACCAATCCTCACTGAAAGTGACGCAGCTGATGACACAACAAAAGACATGGTCATAATTGAAGAGTCACAGTCCAAACTTCCAGAATCTCCAAAAGAGGAAGGTGTAGGCCCGGACACTGTACCTGACATTGACTCTGAATACTTCACAACAGCCACTAGACCTTACACTGGTGAGAAGCCAACGCCGCCTGCTCAGGCTATGGATTCTACAGCAAGCCCTGAGCTCCAGGGAACCCCTGCAAATGAAACACATCCACAGTTCGATGGCATTAATGTCATTATTGTCGAAATTCTTGGGAAAAATGCCTCAGGTGAGCTTTTTTTTTTCTTGTCACCCCCTGCTTAGACAGGTCTGTGTTATACGATTTGATGAAGATGCTTTTTGTTTCCCTTGTGCCTTGTTAGTATCACCTTTTCACTGAAAATGTTGGACATCCTGTACAGTAGGTAGGTTCAGTGATGGAAAGGGTCACATTATGAATTCAATGTCTAAACTGAAGTCTGGATGGTTACAAATGGGTTTGCAAAATGTGTGTGAATAGCATATGTATGTTTGATGTTGGGCCTGTGAGTTTTGTTCTGGTCTTGAGTCTGTGAGTTCAGTTCTGGTCTTTAGTATATGGAGTTGTGTCTGTGTTTTCTTTGGTTTTCTCTGGGCGTTCTGATTTTTTGCCACCTCTCAATGTTAACTAGGTTTAATTAGCTATTCTGCCTTTTCTTTCTCTGTAGTTATGTGATGGACTGGCATTGCGCTCAGGGGGAGAGCTGATGTGTGCTCTGAGTCCTACCTTCTGTCCTCTGCTTTAAGGATAGAGGGCAGTGTATGAAGAGTAGGGAGAAGGGATTGTATGAAGTGCAATACCTGTAATAAATGGTCTTTGATGCTGTTACTTTTACTTCAAATTAGCTAGCTATATAAGATTTTAAATAAAGTATTTTCTGATCCAGAAAAATAAAAGCCCAAAAAGTCAATATAGCTTAGTTGTGTTGTGTGAGGTCCTATTAATATATTTTAATGCTAATTTCTAATACTTTTTAGAATTTCACATATTATACCACAATGCCTTTATCTGTGTGTTTAGAATATTTGTATTAGAGTCTGTGGCGAATGCTGTATATCAGGGTTATTCTTAGAAGAAAGAATTGAGGATGGTATTTCCAAATGGGCCTGTTAAAACAGTGTGACAGCTCATTTTCCTCATACATACTGTAGACCCATTGCTAGGATAATAATAATAATAATAATAATAAACTTTATTTTATATAGCGCCTTTAAAGGTGGCTTCTCAAAGCGCTTTACAGGATGACAATAACAATAAATAAGAAGACTACAACAATAAATAAGAAAATTTCACAAGACAGGACACAATTATAATTACAACAATACAACAATAAAAATAGAGGAGACCGTGGAAGATGGTATTAAGAAGAGCAGAGGGGTGAAGAATGGAACCAGTTAAGTAAAGGCTTTTCTGAAGAAGAAGGTTTTGAGTCTGGATTTGAAGGAGTTTAGAGAAGGTGACTCTCTAATATCCTTGGGCAAAGAGTTCCAGAGCTTGGGGGCATAGCAGGAGAAGGCCCTGTCGCCCATACAATGTAGACGGGCTTGGGGGACAGTAAGGAGGGCAGAATTTGAAGAGCGGAGGTTGCGAGGTGGGGAGTAGGGCGATAAAAGTTCAGACAGGTATTGAGGTGCCAAGCCATGTAAAGCCTTGATGATCAAAGGTTTGACTTAGGTATAATAACTGTATTTTTATTATATAATTTATGTGATGCCTATTATACTATACCTACTTTCATCTCTCAATCAATGTCAGATTTCCAAAAGCCAGTAAAAATATGGAAATGAATCATGCTCAAGCTCATCAATGCTTGTGCAGTGATAACTGCTTGCAAAATTCAAAATAGCCTCCCCTTAGAGTGTGTTCTGTAGGGTAAATGTACAGAGAAAGTCACATGGGGTATCTGAATAACCTTTCAGTCTACTGTGATATATAAAAACTACTTTTTAGAGAAAACACAAACTTTTTGTTTCACTTTAAGATTGCAGTATCATGTGCACAGCAATTGGGTTATATCTCTGAAGCCCTACTCTCCAGCCTGATCTGTTTCACTGTCACCCTGCTGGGGGGGCTTGTAATTAGTTTGTCCAGAAACCATTATGAATCTTATGCGGTAAAGTGAACACTAAAATGATCAAACACTCGCACCTTCAAAGACTATTAGGGAACTGTCAGTGTTGTGACTGAACATGCTACTGCAGATGTCAACTTAAATAGAAACCGTGACCCATACCTTTCATATTACATTTACAGAATGTCACTATGGAAAAAAAAAGATCTGCTGTTGGGAACTTTGATCAACTAATTAGAGATTAGGTTTGTGTTACAAAAGGGAAGGAACTCATTTTGATTTTTGTGTAAATGTATCCCCCCCTATAAAAAATGAAGCAGAGTACTTTTAACCAAAAGTGGAGACCAAAAGGAATTTATTTTATTAATTTTGATAATGCTGTAGATGATACTGTTTCACATTTCCTGCTTCACATACATTTTTCACAGACAGGGCCAAGTGGAATTTGAGAACTTTATAGATGACCCTGATTATTGTAACTCTTATTATGATCACCTGGGATATTTCTGCATTCAAATGGTGCAGGAACAATTGCAGTATTTATAACAGTGAATTGACAGTACTGCCAGTGCACAGCACATTACAGTTGTCCTGAAGGATGGGATCCTTGTAGTTTTGGAGTTCCTTGTAGTTTACAAAAGGGCAGTTTTTCTTTATTGTCATTATGTCTGGTTGTGTGATGGACTTACATCCTGCGCTGGAATTACTGTATAACTGGTGGAGTGTAGCTACTGTAGCATGCATAGTATCTAGTGTGATGTATAGTGATCTTGTGTGGGTGACTTACCACTTATCACAGCATTATGTTGATTGGGACTGTCCAAGGTACTGAATTTGAAGACCGCACACCCAGAGGCTTGTATAGTGATCCAGGTATGACCACATGAACAGAACTGCATCTCACATGTACAGGCTTACCTTGGCAGTTGATTATTTGACTACTGAATCTGACGTCTGGCTGTTCACCATACAAAAGTTAGCTCCTGATTGTGAAACTTTAGGAACCTTCTAGATCCTTCTGCTCATCGTGGTATTCAAACAAAGCCATTTTCATCATGAAAGTCACTATAAATGGGCAAACATGTAATTTTTTATATTATATTTAAGGTTTCAAGAATTGTCCAGTTTCTAAACTATAGGAAGAAGCACAACTTTGCCATATTTCTCAATTTACTTTTATTAAGTTTGTAAATATACAGTCTGTCCTTAGGTACTATGAATTTTAAAATAATTGCTGTGAAAACAAAAATTTAAAATGGGATATTTTATTATCACATTTATATATGGTAACTCTCTGTGTATCTACCATATTTAATAAGACTATTATTATTAAGAATCATGTCAGAGTTTGCTAACATTGTGTATTTCTAAATCAGAAAATTTTCTTGCTGTGGAAAGGGGCATTCATTTTATGTGTAAATTTATTTAAATGTATTTAAATGTATGTGGCTACACAGTGCTGCTAATTAAGCCCCGGTTTCACAGATTTTGAATTGTCAAGTTTCTTCCCAGAAGAGGTGAGGTGTGAGAAAATATGCAGCATCTTTAAATATTTTCCACCAAGCAAAACCCTTAGTCAAGAAAGCTAAAATTTCAATACTGTTCAAATAGAAATGGCTTTGTTTGAGTAGATACAGAAATAACATTGTCTTTAATGTCAGCTCTGCTCACTTCTTTCTAAGGTATTTAAGAGACTTTGCATGTTGAGGTCTAAATTTTAAATAAGAGGTCACATATATAGGAATTGGAATATTGATTGCCTGTAATAAAAAGCAGAAATGCCTAAATCGGGATCTTTTGTTCCTGAAGAAGTGTCCTCGGTCCCTGGAATAAAAAGCAGTCAGAAATGTCTGTGCTTCAGAGATAATTGATATGTGAATGCTGGTAACACTGTGCTGTCCTGAGAGCCTTTCATAATAAACTTCAACATTTCAATTTCAAAACCTGAAATTTTGAAATAAATGTCAAAACTTGTTCCCACTTAAGGGAGTTCTGGTCCTTTGTGGTTGGCAGTTTCTGATCCAAATGAATTTAACTAAAATTAAACCATTAAATTGTTCAGAGTCTTTAGAAAGTGATAATTTAATGACGACTTCTCAAACCTGTTTGAATGGGGCTCTCCAGGAGTTGGGATAGAGATGTCTGATGTAAGTGTACTTCTAGTTCTTCTTTGCATTTACAGTCTAAAGGCAGAGCTACAGAAGCAGCCTCAGCATTTTTGCCTACAACAGCTGTTTCATAGTTAACGTAGTCCAGTGAAAGGGGCATATATGTGTCTTACATGGAATACCTTTAGAATTATGGTGTGTTTTATGTACTGTAGGTATACATTTAACAGGGCATTGAGCATGTTACAGGAATGGTATCACTTTCCATAGAAACCTTGACAGTGTAGAATTCTGTCTAGAAGCAGAAGATCCTGTAGTTATGGTGTAGTTCACTTCACTCTAGGAAGTGATGCTGTGTATGCTCTTGAGTTCGCCAGCAAGCACCCTTCACACATATAGTTTAACTTGTCATCTATGTGTTACAGATCCCCATTGCTTTGACAGAAGGGATTATACCGTATAGTAGATGATTCACTGCAGTTCCACTTTACACTTGGCAAAAATACTTCAGCTACTCAGAGATAAAATACTAAATCATTTTAAAATGCAAAATATAAGTCCAAAGAATGTTTTCTTAGTAAGGAATTAGTGGTGGGTCTATGTGGACAATCCTGCTACACTGCTGAACAGTTTAATACAATTCTGCAGCATAAATACTATTGGAAGAGTGTTAGTGGTAATAAATATGCATATGTTAGAACAAACATTTCACCATCATATTGTATGTGTATGGCACACATTCTGATGCCCATGGAATTAAGGACATGTAATTCTGCAATTGTCCTATTAATCATACTGCATTGTGTTTCTAGTGGTATGATATTTTATTAAATGCCAGTTCTTAGCTGACCAAACAAATGCTTCTACAAGGCAAATGTCTGTGGTATAAGCCAAGATGCTCCTAGTGAGTTAAATTCAGCTGTGTGATTCCCTGCTATTCCCAACTATTCAAATAGTTGCAAATGAAGTGGCACAGAGCTAATATTAGTATTCTGGAAGTGTACATTCAAAATACTTTATTGTTTCATTTCTGAACAGTAGCAACATTTTATCATACCAATCATGATTAA